TGAAATAAATCAATCACAGAAGGACAAATATAGTATTAGTTTGTTGTTGTGGAGGGTCGAGGAGAGGTTTATATATGGAGGGAAACTTTTTTTGTTGGTTGCCAAGGGTGGGAGGGGTGGAGAGGAAACACTGCAAAAAAAAAAAAAAAAAGCATTGATCCATGTCACTTTAGTTTTGTGTATTTCACTGTACATAAATTATATTTCAATAAATGCATTTAAAAAATAGGTTCTCTGTAGATATAATTAGTTAAGATAAGTTTATACTAGATTAGAATCACACCAAACCAAACTCAAAAAAAAAAAAAAATCACTACCACCAAGTCCACTCTGACTCATGGTGACCCCCCATTGGATTTCCAAGTCTGGATTTCCAACCCTTTATGGAAGCAGACCACCCCATCTTTCTCCAAGGGAACAGCTGGTAGTATTGAACTACCAACCTTTTGTTTAGCAACCAAATGCTTTAACCACTATACCATCAGAGCTCATGAGAAAGCACAGCAAAGAAGACCCAAAACAGAAGTTTGGAAGTTCAAAGCCACTTTTCCCAAAAGAATATCCCAGGTCTTTCTGGAGAGGAACCCCTGGGTGGACTCAACCCACCAACCTTTTGCTTAGCAGCCAAGTTCTCAACCGTTTGCACTACCCAAGGGCTCTTCAAATCCAGGGGCATAACTCTCCTCTCTCTCTCTCTTTTTTTTCCCTGGAGAAAGAGTCTGAGAACAGCCCACCACTCCCTTTAAGGGGTCTGCTCATTGGCCCCAGCCCCGTTGTGAAATCATCTCCTACCATGTGTCCTACAAGCCGCTCCTCTCTCCTCGCAGCTGCAGCTCTCCACTCTCCAGAGAAAGATTTCACCATTTCTCATGATGTCACCAAAATTTGCACAACTGGACCAATAAGCAACATCATGAGAAACATAGAAAGGACTGAAGGTGTCAGGGATTTCGTTTTACTTGGATCCACAATCAACACCCATGGAAGCAGCAGTCAGTCATCAAATCAGATGACGTATTGCACTGGGCAAATCTTCTGCAAAAAGACCTCTTTGAAGTGTTAAAAAGCCAACATGTCACTTTGAGGATGAAGGTGAGCCTGACCCAAGTCGTGGGATTTTCAGTCATCTCATTGTTGGTGTTGTTATTTGCCATCGAGTCTCATATGCATGTAAAAAAGAGCTGGGCAATAATAAGGACCACGGAAGAGGAGTTGATGCTTTTGAATTGTGGTGTTGGCGAAGAATACTGAAAGCACTGTGGACAGCCTGAAGAGTGAACACATCTGTGTTGGAAGAAGTGCAGTCAGTATCCTCCTTAGAAGCAAGAATGGCCAGCCTGTGTCTTCTGTACTTTGGACGCATGACCAGGAGACCGGTCCCTGGAGAAGGATAACATGGTTGGTAAAGCAGAGGGTCAGCACAAAGAGGAAGACCCTCACCAAGGATTAGGGAATGGCTGCAGCAATGGGCTCGAGCCCAGCAAGGACTGGGAGCATGGTCCAGTGTTCCGTTCTGTTGCACATGGGTTGCCTTGAGTTGGACCCTATGCAGTGGCTCCTAACACCAACAACAGCACAGCCCCGAAGCCCACATGTGCCTGCAGGGCTTCAGCATCCAAGGAGCTCCTAGGCCCCACCAGGCACTTTCAAGCCCCTGTACACTTCTCCGGTAACTCTTTTCTCATGTCCACTTAAACATCTGGATGTTTCATTTTCTTTTGTTGAGCAAACAGTATGTACATACGCAGGTTCTGGATTTCATCTGCCAGGCTTGCAGTCCCAGCCTAGTCCTTTACTGGCTGTGTAACCTTGGACAATTGTCTTAACCTCTCTGAACATCATTTGCAAAATGAAATTAATGACAACATTTATCTAATAGGGTTGGAATGAGGATGAAGTCAGATAGTGCATGTAAAACAGTCCCTGGATGGCACAAACAGTTAATGTGCTCAGATGTCACCATAAGGTTGGAGGTTCGAGCCCGCCCAGACGCACTTCAGAAGGAAGGCCTGGTGATTTGCTTTAGAAAACTCAGCCACTGAAAACCCTGTGGGGTGCAGTTCTACCCTGACACCCATGGGGTCACCAGGAGTCGGAACTGACTCAATAACAACTGGGGAGGGCAGTAAAATGCTTATCGTGTGCCCAGCCCAAGGAGAGCACCTGTAAGGTAAATACTGACCTGCTGGCACAGACCTAGCTCTGAGTAAGTCCCCAGAAGTTTCCTTCCCTTCCCTTCCCCATCTCCTCAAACCCGGGAGGCATGTCTGGCGCTGTCACAGGAGTTAGAGAATTATTTGCTACACCCCTGCCTCCAATCTCAGCTCATCCCAGGCCGGAGGATGGGGACTGTTGACCAAGTGCCCCACGCCCACCCAAGTCTCCTGCCCCTCTAGGCTCTTGCCAAACTTCTGTCCAGCCAATTTGGGTCTGCTCTGTCTGGGTCTGGTTGTGAAGTATATCTGGGCTTCCTTTTTTTATCTCAGAAGGAGCTGTGTCCCTGTAACCCCACAGAAGCTGTGAGCCCCAATCCCTTGCAATCCCAGGGGCAAAGTTACTCCAGGTCAAATCAAGTTCAAGGGGCAGGACTGCACTGTTCCGGAAAGGCAAGGCTCAGGGGGCAGAGGTTATAGTCATGGAGTGACATAGGTTATAGTCATGGCATCTCACAAGATCCCAGAAACAATCAGCTCTGATCTGGCTTTTCTCCTTGGCCACAGCTGATGGCAGCAGAAACCATCAGAGTGCCCACAGATATCCCCAGCTCCGGAGCAGGGGGACTTCCGCCATGGCAGGCTCTCAGCCCACCCCAGCCTGGCCAGACAAGTCCAGCCCTGAAGGGGACCCCGTCTAAGCTCCTGCCTCCAAGCTGGCGCCACAAGGAGGCCCAGAAGAGGCGTCACCTTCTCAAGGAGCTGGGGGTGAGTCCTGTGGCCTGGGCTCTGGCCGAGGGAGGAGGGTAGCAGGGTGGGCTGCTGGGCGGCCAGAGGGGGAGAGGGGGAGGAGGGAGCCTCCAATTTCCCTGCTTTGCACTCACCCTGAAACTGGAGAGCCGCTGAGGGATGGGCTTCCCCCGTGTCTACAGCCACTGCCTTGTAGACAATCAGAGATGAGACCCACATTGGTGGGGGCATGGGAGTCTCCACTCTCTCTGCAGGAAATCTGAGGAAGAGTCTGGCTTTGCAAACCCACCAGGGTCCCAAAGAGGGCAGGAAGGGGACTCTCTACGCCCAGTGGTCCAGGGCACCAGGGGCCTCCCTTAGGGCCTCAGCATGCCCTGTGTTAGCATCCTCACCTGTTTCTTACCCTCTCCCGCCCAGGCCTCCCACGTCATCCTGGCTCTGCTGCACCTGCTCCTTGGGGCTTACCTGGCCTCTGAGGTCAAAGGCCTTCACCTGGTGGCATTGAAGTCTTGGTATCCCATCTGGGGAGCCGCCTCTGTGAGTAAGAGCCAAAACATAGGGTGGAAGGGGGTCAGCAGGGCCAGCCTGGGAGACCATGGCGTTTGTGACAGGATGCAGGGCGGCCAGGAGGAAGCAAGACTGGAAACATAAGCCAGCCCCTTCCCCAGCCTCCCTATGTCTGCTTCTATTCTCAGTTGCACTGGGACATAGTTCCCTCCCAGGGCAATAGGTGGGGAGGGGGCCACAGTGCTGAGTGCAGCCAGCAGGAAGGACGGTGAGCGCAAGCCTGCGAGTATGTATCCTTCCACCGGCTTCTTTGGGTCTGCGCTAACTTTGGATTCAGCAATGTGTCGCTGAGGCCAGAAGTCTCTGTTGGGGTCAGTCTGTGGGAGCGCATGGGCTACAAGACAAAGCTCCTGTCCTCCCAAGGCCAACAGCCAGATGGGAGATGGGACCAGTGCCCACACCATTTCCCAAGATAGCCTGTTCTTCCATGTCTCCATGCCTTTGCACACACCCTCACTGCCAGCCCCCTATCCTGAGTCTACTGGGGAGAGTCTTGCTATCACTAAGCCCCAGGTCTAGGGTGACCTCTGGGGAAGGTGCCTGACTACCTGGTCCCCTGCTGTCCTTTACCTCCCCTGCTCCCACTCCCCCCGGTGTCAAGCTTGAACCACACAGTGAGATACACCTGTCTACACCTGTACCTAACTCATCCCTGTATTCCCAGGACCCATGCACAGTGGGTACTTAGGGGACGTTTGAAAGATGAGTCCAGAGACCTTAGAACCAAGAGCTAATACTTTCTACACTGCAGGATTCCGAAAAAGAGAAAGGGTGGAGGGAGAAGGGCAGCTGATTGCAGAGGGGAGGCTGAACCAGTTGCCATCCAGTCAATTCTGACTCATGGCAAGCCCATGTGGACCACAGGATTGTCAATGGCTGACATTTTGGAAGTTGATTGCCAGACCTTTCTTCTGAAACACTTCTGGGTGGACTCGGTTTGCATGACCAGTGGGATGGATGGGACTTGTGAATTGGGAGGTCAATGAGGGCATTCTAGATGCAGGGCACAGCTTAATGCAAGGTGTGGAGGTTGGGGGTTGTGGCCTCGCTCCCTGGAAGACCAGCCTGGCCGGAGCAGGGAGGCCAGTGAAGGGGTGCGGGCCAGGTAAGGACTGCTCAGCAGTGCCATGGGCTCTACCATGCTCTGTGGGAGGAACGATGTGTTCGGCCCGTCAGCCACCAGGGTGGGTTTTTCCTGGAGAACAAGGGGAGGAAGAGTAAGGCATGCTACCTTCTCTCCTGCAACTGTTTCCAACCTGGCCTGCAGTTTCTCATTTCAGGGATCCTGGCAATAGTGGTGGTGACATTTGCAAAACCGTCCCTGGTAAGTTGGAACACTGACCTCATTCCATCCCAAGTCTGGGTAGCTTTGTTAAGAGGAGCTGTGCGTGGTGGGGCTTGGGGAGGCAGCTCGAAGCATTTGCTAGGACAGGCTTGTGCCTTCTGAACAGCAGAGAGTCCCCATGCGGAGGGGGCCACATGTGACACATGGATGGACTTGGCCACAGATGGACAAGGAACCCAATCACCCTTCTGTCTTCCCAGGGCTTTGTAAGGCAAGGTCTTCAGCTTGTGGGAAGGTGGCAGTGGGTAAGCAGGAGGGTAGCACAGGTACCCCAACCCTTCATGTCTAGAACAAAACTTTTCTTGCTCCCAAACTGATCTAGTTCTGATCTCGATCATTACATGGCCACGTGACCATGCACGCAGCAGCCCAGAGTCCCCCAACTAGGCGCCTAAGACCCTAAGTCCTGGGGCTTTGACCTCCTACACATCCTTGACCCCACCCCTTCCTCTCCATCCCACCGCCCTCCTTCCACCTTGGTTCTGGCCAGGAGGTGTGACCCAGCCCATGCTCCCTGCAGCAGCCCGAGCAATGTTTCTCAAATGCAGGTCTGCCTGTATCACTCCACTGTGTCCAAGCTCTCCCTGGGTCTCAGTGCCCAGGGCTGGCCTCCAGTGTTGTTGTGGTTCACAGGCCCTGCACACCTGACCAGCGATGGTTTCTATCCACTTTTCCTCACTGAGCCCAGCCCAACAGGACTTTTCTGCCTGTGCAGTGCCAGTGCCTGAGCACCTTGTCCCCTCCCCAGTGCACGTCTCTCGTATCTTTGACTGTCCTGATCATTCTTCAAGACTCAGCTGACAGGTCTGGTCCTCGTAGAAGTCTCCCATGACCTTCCATGATGGCTTCTGCGTTCCCATGCTTCTAGAAGTTTCTGGTCCCCTTGTCTGTCTTCCCTGACAGCTGTTCACTTTCTTTTCTTCCTGTAGAAAGGCTTGTGCCTGACAATGAACCTCATGAACTTCTTCGTGGTGCTGGCCGGCCTCTATGTCATCATCAAGGACCTCTTTCTGGAGAGTCCGTTTCAGACCCCAATCTGGAGAACTTATCCCAACTCCATGGTGAGTGTCCAGGCCCTGAGGGTCGTCGGCTCTGAGGAGGGGCTGCCCCTAGCTTGCCTGGGAGAAAGTTCCAGCTCTCAGGGAAAACCTCTTTCGGAGCCCAAGTTCGGGCAATGGCGCCCTCTGCCCGGCCACCTCCCACACTGCCCCTCCTGGGCATGGTGGAAGGCGGGGTGCCTGGCTTCTCTCAGAGTCAACACCAAGGACTGAGTCCAACTTTACAAATGGAGAAACTGAGGCCCAGAGAAGGGGAGGGGCTGCAGCAAGCTGGCAGCAAACCCATAAGCACCCCTAGAGCTGTTGACTCGCCATCCAAGGCTCTGTAAATATCATGTCCCAGCACCACCACCACCCACCACCTCCATAAGCCTCGCAGCAGCCTTGCAGAGCCAGGAGCGAACACTGAGCTTCAGAGAAGTTAAGTTAGCGGATAAAGTGCATCAGCAAGTTGGGGGTTGTGCAGTGAGAATCTAAAGCCAAGGCCATGACCCCAGATCTGGCACTTTTTCACCCGAGCACAGTCCCTCCACCTGGAGAAAAACCAGAAGATCAGCCATTGCCTGAGGGTGGCTGGACTCCTCCAGGCAAGATTCCGAGGGTTCTGACCATGGTGGTCAGCTATTCCTCATCACCCCAAGCGTGCACACAGGCACACACATGCCCACATGCATACACATACACACACATGCATGTGTGCACTGTACACACACTCACACACACACTTCCCTGATGAATGCTCATGGCCCTGTGAGATGCCCCACTGGACGGTTGACCTCAGCCCAGCTCTTTCCCTCACGCCTCTTCTCTGGGTCTCATGTCCCCGTCTGTCAAGGTGGTTACATGGGATGAGCCTTCAGGCATCCTTCAATTCTACCAAGGACCCAGGAGATTCTCTGGGCCTCGAACACAGACGACTATTCACCAAAGACCCATTATGCACCAGCCATAGAGCAGTGACAGAGACAAAGCCAACCCTAACCCCACAGAGTCCCAGCCCCCAACTAGGCCACCTGGCAGCTGCAGCCCCCCATCAGTGCCCACATGGTGGGTACAGACACCCAGTGAGACTTCTCTCCTCCTGGCCCCCAGGTCCACATCCAGAGGCTGGAGCTGGCCTTGCTGTGCTTCACCTGCCTTGAACTCTTCCTGCCGGGGCCCACGGCCGTGGTGGCCTGGAGACTGAGCCACCTGTCTGCAGAGGTGAGGCCTCCTATGAGCACCGAGACCCTGAGAGATGAGGGCATGAGGCAACAGAGAGCCCAGAAGGGGAAGCAGCTGGCAGGAGCTACACCTGCTGAGCACTGACCATGTGGGCTCGTGAATAGAGGCCCTTCTCAGTCTGGCTGGGGAGACAGGGCGTGAGGAGGAGAAGGCCAACTCAAGGCCACTGTCCCTGCCTGGTAGTGCTGCTGTAACAGAAATACCTCGAGCGGTGCCTTTAAAGAACGTGCTGTACCCAGTTCAGGAGGCTGCACACCCAGTGCCCCAGCTCCAGGGGAAGGTCCTTGCCTCTTCCAGCCTCTTGGTTCCTCAATGATCTTCATGCAGCATCTCTCTTCCCCTTCATCTCCTGTCTCTGTGTAGGTGCTGCTCCTTGTAGCTCAGAAGGGATTAGGTTTAGGACACACACTATGATGACACTCTGTCATACTTTGTCCTGTTATCAGGAAGGACCAGTCCCTGGAGAAGGATATCACCCTTGGTAAAGTAGAGGGTCAGTGAGAAAGGGGAAGACCCTCAATGAGATGGATTGACAGTGGCTGAAACAATGGGCCCAAGTACAGCAACAATTGTGAGGATGGTGCAGGACTAGGCAGTGTTTTGTTCTGTTGTCCATGGGTTTTCTATGACTCCAGACAGCACGTAACTAAACAACTACACTGATATGGCCTCATTAGCAGAACAAAGAAAACCCTATTTCCAAGTTACATTCACAGCTATGTTGTTGTCCGCATTAAGTCTGTTCTGACCCACAGTGACCCAACAGGGCACAGTAGAACTGCCCCATCGGGTTTCCAAAGCTGAAATAGTGACAGGAGCAGATTGCCAGGGTCTTTTCTGGAGCTCTGGTGGCACGTTGCCTAAGGCACTTGCCTGCTAACCAGAAGGTTGGTAGTTCGAACCCACCATCCACTCCATAGAAGACTGGGCAGTCTAGTTCCGTAAAGATTTACTACCTTGAAAACCCAAAGGAGGTCACTATGAGTCAGAACCAACTTGATGGCAGTGAGTTTGGTTTCTTTCTGCTGTAGAGCAGCTGGTGGGGTCAAACCACCAATCTTTTGGTTAGTGGCCAAATGCTTAACCATTGCACCAGGGCTCCTTGTTACAGGCATAGGGGTTAAGATTCTAACACATATTTTGGGGAAGACGCAACTCGATCCATAAAAGTCACGAAAGAGAGAAGGCCACGGGAACTCAGAGCAACAGGCCACTGCACCCCCAGCTCCGAGGGCTCCAGGAGAGCACATCAGTGAGGTCCAGGGAGACGGTGGAGGATCCGGACCTGCGGGGCAGATGGGAGAAGGAACTCCCAGGCAGAAGGAACAGCATGAGCAGTGGCTCAGAGACAGGACAGCATGGGGTCTGGGGCAGCTACAGCAGGTTGTGGTGTCTGGCTGTGAGCAAGTCAGTGACGGGATCATAGGGGCCGAGCCCAGCAGTCAGGAAAGCCAGACAAGGTGTGTCTGACCCACGCCATGCCCTGGTCTACCACTGGGGAGGGCAGCAAAGCCACCTGAGGATCTGCTAGCCATGTACCACCTGGGCAAGGAGATCAAGATTCAGTGAGATAGATTTTTTTTTTTTTTTAATTGTGATTTGGGTGAAAGTTTATGGAGCAAATTCACTTTCTGTACAACAGTTCACATACACTTAGTCTCATGACATTGACTACAATTTACCCCAATGCAACAGCTCCCCTCTCACTTCCTCCTGATAGTTATCTCTTCCCTGTGTCCATCCCTCCATGTACTCCTGGCCCCTGAGCTGTCTCCCCGTGCATAAGCAGCCCTTCTCTCTCCCATGATTGTTCAGTGAGATAGATTTTGAAAGACAGTCCCTGGGCAGTGCAAACAGTGTCTAATTGGCTACTGACCTAGAAGCTGGTGACTGGAACCCACCCAACAGTGCTGTGGAAGAAAGGCCTGGCGACGTGCTTCTACAAAGATTACCACCAAGGAAACCCTATGGAGCAGTCCTGCTCTGCAGCCTGTGGGCTCCCTGGGAGCCACAACTGATGTGACAGCAGTGGGGTATATTTTGAAACAGAAGATGTGTCTCTCCCCACCCTGCTGACCCTGACCTAGTGGCTTCCTAGGCTCACTTCTTTAAAGGGAAAATTCCTTACTAGAATCTCAACTCAGCTGAGTCTTGTCGAAGTCACCTCATCTCTCTGAGCCTCTATTTCCCCACATCCATGGGGATCGTGAGAATCGTGAGATTTCCACGGGTGAACCAGGGGAGCGGTGGAGCAGGGTCTTTCCTCTTTTGCAGGAGAGTGACGACACGTCCCTTGTTCCTGATTCGCCATTGGAACTCGGTGGTCTGTCGCTGGAGCCCCCACCCTCCTACAAAAATGTGATTCAAGGCAACATGGAAGATGAGCAAAAGCAGAGGTGAGTTCAGGCCCCCCAGCCCCTTTCCCCTGACACAGATACAAGTCAATTCCCCGGAGGCAGGGACAAGGAAGGGAGCAGACTGTGCTTTTCAAGGAATGTCTGCCTTGATGGCGGCCAAGATGGGGTACCCCCCATCCCCTCAGACTCCTGGTCCCCGTCCTGCAGTAACCTGGCCTGGTTGACTGACCCAAAGCATGATCAGGGACCACACACCATCCCTGACAGCCCCCAGGGCAGACCCCTGGACCAGGCACCCCCTCTCCAGGAGCCAACTTCACCTTCTGCCCTCCCCTGCCTGCTGCCTTCGGCACAAGGTGCAGGGAGGTAAGGGGCAGGGAGAGTTGTCCATGAGATGCTGTGAGAGGGGCCTGAGAGGAAGGGCGTCCTCAAGCCGGGAGAGGGGTGGCTCTCCTGCATTTGAGGTGAGGGCTTCAAAGTCACTGAAGCAGACAGAAATCAGGGCCAGTGAGTTCTTTGTGATTCTCGACTCCCCAGGGAAAGAAAGACAGAGCTGGACTGACCAGCCCAAGGTCAGTGGGTGGCAGGGGCCTGAGTGGGCTCAGCGGTGTCCCAGACCTGCTGGATGACCTGTATCAGGCCTCTGTCTGGGCCTCAGTGTCTCCATTTGTAGAATGAGGGGTGGAGAGGGTGGGGGAAGGAGGTGTTCTGGAGAGGCTCCCAGCTGGAAAGCTCTGAGATGAGGAGTCAAGTTCAAGACTCTGGTGGTGACATCTGAGGTTGTCCGTGAACTTCAGGCTTGGAATTCCAAACCCTCCTCCACCACCACCACCACCCCCCAGTGCTGAGGAAACGAGGTGAAGGGGGAGAGCCTCCTCGTTCCCACATTTGTGTCATCCCAGAACAGTCTTTGTGCTTTTTGTTCATTTGCAAATTGGACTGATTCCCTTTCTGTTTCTTAGATTAGCTTTTTTGTTATATAATATGATTTAAATGGTGTACTCTGTCAGTAACAAACAGGAAAACATTTATCTTTCATAAATAGAAGCCAACTACAAAGAAAAAGTGCAAACACAATGAAAATCAAGCAAACTGTGACACCCCCTCCAACCTCCTTGGTCCCATCTCCTAGATCCCTTCCTCATGCTTGCTCTGCTCCAGAACCCTGGCTTCCTGGAAGTCACCCAGGGACCCCAGGCGCACACCTGCCTCTGAGCCACCACCCTTGTTCTTCTTTTGGCCTGAACTTCCTTCCCCTATGTATCTGCAGGGCTAGCTCTTTAAATCTTTACTGGGCCACGCCCAATGCCATCAAACTCTGATGTAAGTGCTATGGCTACCCCACACTAGCTCAAAGACATTAAGCAGTCTGCCCAAGGACACACAACTAATGAGTGGCAGAGCTGGAACTTGGACCCAGGCAGTCTGGCTCCAAATGGATGTGCTGCCTCCTGCTGGTGGCCAGCAACAGCTGCAACATAGCCCCTGCCCTTCGGAAGCTGCAGTTTTGCTGGTAAGCTGAGACTTAAGCTTTGGAGAGGCTGCAACGTGGTCCACACAGCAAAGTCAGCCCTCACCACTCCCCGTTCTCAATACCTGTGGAACCCCAGGCTTTTACCTGCCGGAAGTGGCAGGCCTTTCTACACTGTCTTATGAAATTCCTTGTGACTAGGGACATCCCAGGGACTATTTGCACTGATTAATCCCCAAGGGAAGGGTTCTTTGAATTATCCTATCTGCTTTGTCACCTCCCTTGCTGTCCACTGTCACTTCTGTCTGGGGTCAATGGCTTGAGCATAGCACCTCTTCTCTCTCCTCATCTGCTACTTCTGACCTCTGTGGCTTTAGAATAGAATGTCAAGTAGCAGTGATTAGGTACTAAGTGCCCTTCAGAGAGAGCCATGCGAATGTTTAGGGTAAAGAACCAATGACCAGGAAGTCGTTTCGGACTCACAGAGTCTCATGTGTGTGGGAGTAGAACTCTGCTCCACAGAGTTTCCAGTGAGTGGGGTTTTCAGAAGTAGAGCACCAGGCCTTTCTTCCAAGCCACCTTGGGGTGGACTCAAGCTTCCAACCTTTTGATTCCTGGATGACAGCACTGTTTACACCACCCGGGGTCTCCTAGGATAAATAGGGTGTTTCAAAACTGAAAGGGCATGATGGAAAGAACCCCAGACTGGGTGTCTGGGACCCAGGGGCAAACTCCAGCTCTGCCAGTAACTTACTGTGTGATCTTGACTCAGCCATACCCCTCTCTGGGCCTCCATTCCCTCATCTGTAAGATGGGACACTGTGCTAGACTAGTGTGGTAGCTTCATTAAACTTGGAAATGGCTCCTGTTTCCATTTATGTTCTTAAAAATTAACAAATAATAAATAAAAGACTTGTCAAAGCAGCTTCCCCTTCAAAGAGCATGACTTTGCGGCCTCTGCTGGTGGCTGGTGGAAGACCATGCAGGGCCAGTTGGCCTCAGGTGAGCCTGCTCACGGCCCTGTCACTCTGGACTTAGCGACCTGTGGAGTGGTTTCAACCGCCATGCAGTGGATCTCGTCAGTGCAGAAGGCAGTGTTTCGACACCAGCTTAGAAACAGAAAGCAATCTGTGATTATTGTCACCGCTTTTAGTCACTATTTTGATACATACTCAGTCCTAACCATAGTATCATTTTCCCCGTTATGAAAAGAAATTCAAACACACAAAAAAAGTTGAAAGAATCATTCATTGAGCACCATTACACCTTCTACCAAGATTGACCAAGTGTTAGCGTGTTGCATATGCACTCTCTCTCTCTCTCTCTCTCTCTCCACACATGCACTTTTTCATTGAAACATTTGAAACCAAGTTGCAGACATCATGACCATTCATCTCTAAATTCTTCTGCCTGCATTTCCTAAGAATAAGGACAGCGTCCTACACAATCACAACACCATTGTCACATTAAGAAAATTTCATCCATGTACTACAGTACTATTCCACCACTCGAGTGTCAGTGTGTTGTACTGTGGTGGCTGGTGTGCCGCTGTGAGGCTGGAGGCTATGCCACTGGTATTTCAAATGCCAGCAGGGGCACCCAGGGTGGGCTGCTTTCAGCAGAGCCTCCAAACTAAGATTCAGAAGAAGGACGGAACCAATGAAAACCTTATGAATAGCAGTGAAACACTGTCTGATGTCTTAGTGGGAATTTTCATGAATAGCCATGAAACATTGTCTGATAAAGTGCCAGAAGATGAGGCCCTCGGGTCAGAAGGCACTCAAAATACGACTGGGGACAAGCTGCCTTCCGCAAGTAAAATCAACCTGAACCACGTGGATGGAGTAACACTTTCAGGACCTTCATTTGCCGATGAGGTGTGACTCAAAATGGGGGAGGGAGAATCTGCAAACATGCATCAATAGTCAGAACATGGAATGCATAAATTTTGAATCTAAGAAAATTGGAATATGTCAAATATGTAATAGAACGCAATAAAGATTGATATCCTAGGCATTAGTGTGCTGCAATGGACTGGTTTTGGTCTTTTTGAATCAGACAATCACATGATCTACTACGTCAGGAATGACAAATTGAAGAGGAATGGCATCACATTCTTAATCAAAAATAACATTTCAAGATCTATCCTGAAGTACAATGCTGTCTGTGATAAAATAGTATCCATATGCCTACAAGGAAGACCTGGTAATACAACTATTATCCAAATTTACGTACCAACCACCAAAGCTAAAGATGAAGAAATTGAAGATTTTTACCAACTTCTGCAGTCTGAAATGGACCAAATATCCAATCAAGATGTATTGATATTTTCTGGTGATTGAAATGTGAAAGTTGCCACAAAGAAGCATCCGTAGTTGGAAAATATGGCCTTGGTGAAAGAAATGACCCCAGAGACAGCATGACAGAATTTTATAAAACCAGTGACTTATTCATCACAAATACCTTTTTCAACAACATCAATGGTAACTGTACACATAGACCTCCCCAGATGGAATACACAGGAATCAGATCGACTGTGGAAAGAAACAGTAGAGAAGTTCAATATCATCAGTCAGAACTAGGCCAGGGGCTGACTGTGAGGCAGACCACCATGCTTATATGCAAGTTCAAGTTGAAACCGAAGACACTTAAATTCATGAGACCCAAAATACAGCCTTGAGTATATTCCACTTGGATTTAGAGATCATCTGAAGAATGGATTTGACACATTGAACATCAATGACTGAAGACCAGACGAGTTGTGGGATGACATCAAGAGCATCATATATGAGGAAAGCAAAAGGTCATTAAAAAGACAGGAAAGGAAGAAAAAAAACAAAATGGATGTCACAAGAGACTCTGAATCTTGCTCTTGAACTGAGAGTAGCTAAAACAAATGGGAGAAATGATATAAAAGAGCTGAATAGGAGATTTCAAAGGGCAGCTCGAGAAGACAAAGTAAAGTATTATGATGAGCTGTGCAAAGACATGGAGCTAGAAAACCAGGAGGGCAGAACACACTTGGCATTTCTGAAACTGCAAGAACTGAAGGAAAAATTCAAGCCTCCAGTTGCAATACTGAAAGATTCTAAGATCAAAATACTGAACGATTCATGAAGCATCGAAAGAAGATGGAAGGAATACACAGAATCACTGTACCAAAAAGAAATGGTCAACATTCAACCATTTCAGGAGGTGGCATAAGATCAAGAACCAATGGTATTTAAGGAGGAAGTCCAAGCTGCACTGAAAATACTACAAAAAAAAAAAGCTCCAGGAATTGGTGGAAAACCATTGAGATGTTTCAACAAAGAAATGCAGCCCTGGAGGTGCTTGCTCATTTATGTAAGAAATTTGGAAGACAGCAACCTGGCCCGCCGACTGGAAGAGATTCAGGCCCACTCCAAAGAAAAGTGATCCAACAGAATGCAGAAATTATCAAACAATACCATTAATATCACATGCATATAAAATTGCTGAAGATAATTCAAAAATGGTCGCAGCACTACATCAACAGGGAACTGCCAGAAACTCAAGCCAGATTCAGAAGAGGACGTGGAATGAGGACATCACTGCTGATGTCAGATGGATCTTGGCTGAAAGCAAAGAATGCGAGAAAGAGATTTACTTGTGTTTTATTGGCTATGCAAAGGCATTTGACTGTGTGGATCATTACAAATTATGAATAACATTGCAGAGAATGGGAATTCCATAGCACTTAATTGTGCTCGTGAGGAACCTGTACACAGAACAAGAGGCTGTCATTTGAACAAAACGAGGGGATACTGAATGGTTTGAAATCAGGAAAGGTGTGTGTCAGGGTTGTATCTTTTCACCATATTTATTCAATGTGTATGCTGAGCAAATAACGTGAGAAGCTGGACTGTGTGAAAAAGAACATGGCATCAAGATTGGAGGAAGAGTCATTAACAACCTGTGATATGCAGATGACACAACCTTCCTTGCTGGAAGTGAAGAAGACTTGAAGCACTTACTGATGAAGATCAAAGATTATAGTCTGCAGTATGGATTACACCTCAACATAAAGAAAACAAAAGTCCTCACAACTGGACCAACCAGCAGCACCTTGACAAGTGGAGAGAATACTGAAGTTGTCAAAGAAATCACATTACTTGGATCCACGATCAACACCGATGGAAGCAGCAGTCAAGAAATCAGACAACATACTGCACTGGGAAAATCTGCTGCAAAAGACCTCTTTAAAGTGTTAAAGAGCAAAGATGTCGCTCTGAAGGCTAAGATGTGCCTGACCAATCATGGTCTTTTCAATCACCTCATATGCATGTGAAAGCTGGACAATGAAGAAGGAAGCCCACAGAAAAAGCGATGCCTTTGAATTGTGGTGCTGACAAGGAATACTGAAAACACCATGGATGCCGGAAGAACAAGCAAATCTGTCTTGGAAGTACAGCTGGAATGCTCCTCAGAAGCAAGAATGGCCAGACTCTGTCTCACCTACTTTAGTCACGCTGTCAGAAGAGCCCAGTCCGCGGAGGATATCACGCTCGGTGGAGCAGAAGGTCGGTGAGAAGGGGGAGACCCTCAGTGAGATGGGCTGACATGGTGGCCGTGGAGATGGACTCAAGCATAGCAAATACTGCGAAGACGGCACGGGACCGGGCAGTGTTTCATCCCGTTGCTCACGGAGTGGCTGTGAGTCAGTGCCGTCAAGCTGGCACCTAACAACAACATAATACTGCTGCATACCCTTCCATATTCAGAT